TGAGTGTGGAGCCTGCTTGAGATTTTCTCTCTCCTTGTGCCCCTCCCCGCCCCCAGCCCCCTACCCCCTGCTCTAGTGTACTCTCTCTCTCTCTAAAAAAACAAAAAACAAAACCCACAAACAAACATCCTAAAGAACAAAAGGAGAAGGATTTTAAGAGCACAAATTTTGGAGATATTCTCAGTCAAGTGGGTCTTTTGCTGTCCCTCAAATCATATCACATAGATAGCCATCATATGGGTTTATGCTTTGGCTGGCTTGATTACATCAAAACCATTTATAACATGGACACATTTTCTTACACTTTACAAACCTGGAGAGGGGAGGAAAGTCAGCAGAGAGGAGTCCACCTTCTTACTAGAGAACCCCTGTATCTCAGAACCCACTAGTCACAAAGATGGCGTTTCTCTCTAGCCCGTCCAGCTGTTTGTCCTAGTATTGGCATTAAATCTTCCCCTTAAAGCACAAAACACTCTCATTTTCAATTTTTCAGCTGCAGAGGGATTGACTACACTGTTGCTACCAAGAGCAAAGCCCAGAGTCCAATTTTGAGACCTTTATTTTCATTATGTTTTCAAACCCTAAATCAAGCCTTCTTTCTCTTACCCGGATTTCCTCTTTTGCCTCTCTGCTTCTCTCTTTGCATAGTTTGTCTTAACACCTGAAGAAAAAACGTTTAAATGCAAAGAGATAAATGGCTGGTAATCATTACAAATGACCCATTAGAACTGGAGCCCTTCAATCTGCTTATTTGAACGTACGAAGTACAAAGACGGTTCTCTCTTCTGAAATACTACACTGAACAGATAAGAGTGTATTCAGATATAATTTCATGTGATTACTCTATAAAAAGAACTCCTAGCCACAATTCTCTATCAGGTGTTGTTAAGCACGCAAACTGCCTACCAATAAATCCTGTCCGTCAAATCTTTATTTTTCTCTCACAAAGATTCTACTTTGCAGGCAAACTCTGGCAACATTGCCTACCTATTAAAATGGCAAGAAAAGAAAATGTGAAATTGAGAGAGAAGAATCTGGAACAACAATCTTTGTCACAAAAATTTGTCCTGTGTCAAAAGTATTTCCTCCCTTAGGAAAAACTACCTAACAAGCCAGAAAGAGTAGTAGTGAAAGGCAAAATTAAATAATTAAATACAAAAGCAGAAACATTAAGTTGCTATTATGGACTCATTTTGCAGCTGAATTAACCAATGAATGTTTTTAACTAATACTGAAAAGAGGGTAGCCCAGTTTGAGAAGACTGGTTTAAAAACCACTTTTATAGGGTGCCTGGGTGGCTCAGTCGGTTAAGCGGCTGCCTTCAGCTCAGGTCATGATCCCAGGGTCCTGGGATCGAGCTCCTTGCTCGGCGGGGAGCCTGCTTCTCTCTGCCTGCCACTCTCCCTGCTTGTGTTCTCTCTCTCTCTGTCAAATAAATAAATAAAATTCTTTAAAAAATTACTTTTAAATTACTTTTATCCATTATTTACTCCTGAAGCAGGGATTCTTATCCTGAAACCTTGGATGGGCTTCAGGGTCCTGTGAATGCTCAGAAATTTGGGGGTGTTCTTAAGTATATTGGGCTTTCCACCCCCCACCCGGGAAATGATCCGTAGTTTCTGTCAAATTTTCAAAGGGGTCTAGTCTAAGAATCAGCGTTCTTAGAAGATTCTTTAAGGCATATGGAAAAGTTGGATACAATGATTTCAGTTAAACCTTGGTGTTTGTGAGATCAAAGATGTACATTTGAGGTATCCTTCTCTGGAAGACAAAGATCAGGCCTGTCTGGACAGCTGCAACAAAACCCAACAGGAAAATTAGAGAATAGCTAAGAACTGGATTGAGGCAAGCCCCTTGTATGAACTATGGTAACACTCAATGCTATACCCAAATCATCATCATCATCATCTCAGTAACTTAAGGTAGTAAAAATTTACTTCTCATTCACACAAAGTCCAATTCCTGGTCAATAGGCAGCCTTCCATGTGGTCATTCAGGGATCCAAGATCTGCATCCTATGGCTCTGTCTTCTTGTATGGTCTTGGATTCCTCTGTTAAAAAACCTTGGTATCTTGCCATAGGTAAAGGAGGAGAGAGAGGGCATGGAGGATCACATGAGGATTGGACATCATTTTATCCACATTCCTTCAGGTAAAATTCAGTCACATAACCAAACCTAACTATAAGGAAGGCTGGAAATTGTAGTCTAGCTGTATATTAAGTGGGGGTAGAAGAAATGACTTTTGGTGAACACAATATAGCATTTCTGCCCTATCCTCTTAAATGAAGCCACAGTACCACGACCAGAAAGAGGTTGGAGGTGAAGACATGCTGCCTTAGATACTGGGAGAAAGTCCATTGTCATAGGCAGACCAACATACACCCCCAACAGTAAGCAGTAGAGGCAGGAGGTAGAAAAGTGTCCAGAGGATAGGACAGACACAGTGGCATAAAATTTAGGAGCAAAAATGCTCAGAAAGTCAGGCATGGAGGCAAGAGGAATTTGGGAATTCAGTGATCCATAGCAGAGTCCAAGTCACCTAATTAGTATTCAGGAAGACCTAGGGCTAGGAGTGGAGGATAAGAGTGGCCAGGCATCTCTACCTAGAGTGAGATAACCCAGAGCAGGAAGGTTACATTACAGAGATGAGGGATGCACACAAAGGTAAAGAGGAAGGATTATTTGTGAGATGACTCCATCATGAACGGAACGCTGAATAAGAGCTATCTAAATTCCTCCTGTCCAAGGTCAGGAATGGTCCTAGAGATGTGCAGAGCCTATAGACAGGGGTCAACTATCAGGAGAAGCTCATGGGAACCTGTTCAGGCCTGATATGATCCACCCTCAAATGTTACCGGTAACTTCATACTGTTTCCCACTCACAGACAACAACCCCAACGAACCCCAGCTTCCTCACAAACATCCTGGGATGAAAAAGGGCAATGAATCAGTACAAACCCCTCAGAGAACAGAGCAAATGCTTCACTAACAGTTTGGAGTGGCATACTTGTTTATAAGTAATAAATAATAATTAAAAGTAACAGCTGACATGTGTAAGACATAGTTCTTGGGCTTTCATATATATTTACCCACTTAATCTTGACAAAAGTGTTTATTTGAAGGAGGTACCTCTATTACCTCAGTTTTACAGATTAAAAGCTGAGCAATGAGGCTTATATGTAACTTGCTCAAGTGAGTGGCAGAGGTCTGGCTCCAGAGTCAATGACCTTCCCCACTATGCATACTGCTTTTCTTAGAAAGTCAAATTTGGCCAGAATTTCAGATAACATTTTACTCCCTTGGTGAAGGTGCCAGTGAGGACACACCATGTAACGCTCCCCAGAGATCTCACCCACCATTTTGTTTCCAGAGAACTGCCCCATCCTTTTGGAATGAAGACTAAGACATGGATATCCAAAGAATGTCTTGAACAGTTCACTGGAGTGGCTATCCTCTCAAAGAATGTGTGCTCTGGTGCAGTAATGAGCTTTGAAGTAAAATAATGTCACAAATGAATGCAGACTGTCAGCGTTGGAAGGGCCACCAGTCCTCCCCATTTTAGTGCAGTGAGGTTGAGTAGCTTGCATAATGTCCCTTAAGAATAAAAGCAGGTTGTCCTAAGGTCCAGGGTAAAATACTCGCCTCCTTACCTCCAACCATTTTCTGTACTCAGCACACAGGATCATGAGGGTTAAGAGCCAGAAACTGCTGACAGTAATGTGACTGCATTCATTCTTAAGTCGCTAAAGGGACTGTGAAAAAGAAAAGGGTTCAACTTCACAGAATTTATTTTCTATGAAATGAGAAATCCAGTGTCTGCTATAACTCACCAGGAAGTCTATCCATCCAGGCATTTATTCATTCCCCCCAGCCTGTATCCTACCATTTATTCATCTGTCCGCCCATTCATCCATTCAGGCATTCATTCATTCATTCCAAAATATCTACTCTGCCAAAATTTGTGCTAAATCCTGGGTATTTTTAGCATGCTCAATCAGTAGTTTTCTTTCTGCCTGATTTTCAAATTGTGTTAACAAGCCCAGTGTATGGGATTCCAGTACATTTCATTATAAAATGACCTTTATATTAAATATGTTTCAGGAATCATAATCAGGCCATTAATTGTGGTAGAGTTTGCAGCTTCTACCCATTAATCCAAAGAAAAGAGTTCAGTATGGAGTATTTCCTTTTTTGCTCAGGACCTCATTTTGGGCCCCAAGCTGTCTTTTATAGACCACAGTCTCCAGCCAGACGTGGACAAGTCTTAATCAACAATAAATTGCCCTCTGTACCAAAGAAGTCCTCCAATATCTGCAAATGTCCATGAGAGCTGTAAGACCCTTGCTGTCCTTGCTGAGAAGTACATCCCACGGGGACAAAAAAAAACACCTATGTATTCTCAGTTCTCTTGGAGGACAGTAGAAAGAGCATTTCAGCATCCGGCTGCCCGCACCAGTTAGTGCAATTCTGTCTTGTGTTCTAAATAATTCTACTCCCCTGGCCCAGAGTTCTACTGGCTTTAAGAAGTCCAAAATGATTTAGCTCAGCATTTGCTTCTGCATCACACGAGAACATTATTTTCTGATGGTAGTAAACTACTCAGGAAAACAAAGTACAATGTCAGGTGCCAACATTCTGATATATTTATTCATGTTTGTATTTGTGGAGGGAAACTTTTTCCATGCTACAAAGTTGTGTTAGAAACAAGATGCTACAAATCAATAAAGAATAGCTATAGTTATTGCCTATTATAAACAGAATAACAAACAGAAAACAAACAGATACAACTAATTTGGTATACACAGACATTCAATTGTTTTCTGCTCTAAGACTGATATGAACACCACCATTTTAATTCTTTTATGGCATTTTCTTTGGAGATACAATTTTTTTTTGAGATACAATTTCTTATTGCCCATTGCTTTGTGCTTCTCTTACCAGTTCAGGTTTGTAGCATACCAAAGAATTACAGAAAACTGTTTTTCTGCCAAAGGGGAGCTATTTGCCGCCACGTGGTCATTCATATATTACAATGAAAAAGCAAGGTACAAAAATTAATGTACGCTTGTGCACACACGGAGGTGTCTGTGTGTGTGTTTTGGGTATGTGTCTAATGTGTGCTGAAGCCTGGGAATACTGAGTATGAAAGGCTTTTAACTAGCTGGTCATCAAAATCATATATAATAGCTATTAAAAACTCACTTAGCTAGCAGCATGTAAATCACTGGGGTTGGTTACTCAAGGACTAGACAAACAGATTTCTTGGATACTGTTTCCACTTGGGTTTTCCAGTTCATATGGTTCCAGCTGGCGGTACTCAAAAGTCACACGATTTATGTGCTTTCCGCTGGACACCATGCGCACCACCGTGTTGTCACAGCCAATTTTCATTTGGGCTATAATTCATGAAAAAAGTAAAAGGTTCCCTGCAGGTTAGAAATCATACAAACCATTTCCATCGATAAGATCATTTAAACACAAAGAAAGCGAGGGGATGTAGCTCCTCTCACATACTCAAACCTTGCGCCTGCCATCAGGTAAAAAGTTCTCTTTTCATTTTTATTATAATATATAATTAATTGTAGAATACTGAAAGTGAACTCAGTTTTCCTCATGTGCAAAAACACTGTTAGCCAAATAAAACTGGCTGGAGGGGAGCCTGGGTGGCTCAGTTGTTAAGCGTCTTCAGCTTGGGTCATGATCCCAGGGTCCAGGGATCGAGCCCCGCATCGGGCTCCCTGCTTGGTGGGGAGCCTGCTTCTCCTTCTCCCACTCCCCCTGCTTGTGTTCCCTCCCTTACTGTCTCTCTCTGTCAAATAAATAAATAAAATCTTTAAAATAAAAAGCAAACAAAAAGCTGGCTGGAAAGGGGAGTTAAAAAGAAAATCACAGGGGAAAAAAAGAAAGAAAGAAAATCACAGGCCCAAAATGGTGCCCTTTAGGCCGAGGTATGAAACTGGGGCTTAATACCTAATCTAATTGTAATTTCAACCTCCCCCAGAAAGGTAGCCTTAACCAGTCAGTCAGGAATTTTTCTATCAGTGTCAGTGAGTCAGCTACAGGGGCCCTCTCCATCGCCCAAAAGGAGGATGAGGCAATCTGCATGACAAGACACCTTGCTTTTCCCCCTAAGGGAAATTGCCCTTGTCTGGAACAATCTTTTTCTTTTGCCAAATTTCGTGCCCCACCCTCCTTCTATAAAAACCTTCCATTTGGTACAATGCCTTGGAGACCCCTCTACCTGCTAGATGGAATGCTGCCCCATTCATGAATTGTTTACTAAAGCCAATGAGATCTTTAAAATCTATTCAGTGGAATTTTTATTATTTAACAGAGGCATTAAGATGTCTCTGCACTTTTCATGTTCTCCTACCTGCAAGGCTTCCGTAGTGCAAGCAAGCTGTCTGTCTACCCGTGCACCTCTGCTCTAGCTCAGTGTTCTCAGCAAGAGCAGTACCGCCCTCTAGGGACAGATTGGAAATTTGCAGGGGCAGTTTGTGGTTGTCATTATCTGAGGAGGCCAAGTGGCATTTTAGTGGACAGGGCTAGAGGATGAAGTGTACTGCTGGATTTTATGCCGACTAAAAAAAAAAAAAAAAAATCACGTTTATTATTTTCTGAGCCTAGATAATAACTCTGTTTACATAAAAGCAAAAAATAATTTGCAGTTTAGATATACACTAATAAAGTTGTTTTTGTTCTATTGTTCGCCTATATCTTTTGACTCATTTTTTCTGTGCTTCTTATATGGAATGGCTTTTGATATCTTTACTTATCTTAAATCCAATCTTATTCATTATTTGTTTTTTTAAATTGTATTATTTGTGTAAGCATCTGGCAATGTTTATGTATATCTTCTAGTGCAGCTGTGACCAAACACTTGTACATTGAAACTCATAGTAGTTTTATCGAAAATTTCTTTTATTTCTCCCTTGTCAAGCTGGGTCCTGAGGCAAGATTTATCTGCCTGACGATAATTTTTTCTGTTGTTTTAATTTTGTCTATCTCCCCCCCACCCCTTGTCTCTGTTAGGCCTACATCCTAGGAAACACTAGCATTATTATTGCATGACAAATGAAGTAAAACAGCCAGATACTTAATTGAGATAAAAGTCAATTTAGAGACATAACAGATATAAACCCTATAATTATTTTTATATAAGCACCTGGGAGTCTAGGTTAAGCTTCTATGAGGAGGTCCAAATTTAATTTTCTTTACATGATTTGGAAGGTTATTCTTTTTCTGACCTTACTCTAAACTTTAATATATATAACAGGATCCATTTCCTTTGTTATGTGCACCTGATTTACTTATTATTTGACATAACTGCACCAAAATTACTCTGGTTTCAATAACCTAAATTTTAAGGCACAAGTATTCCTTAGACCTTAATCTACTCTTCTTACCCAGAGCAAATGCATCTCCTCACAGGTGCCCTCCTGCATGGAAGGATCCAGTGCTTCAGAGAACACAGTAAGAGGCAAGAAAAGCCACATGTACTGACAGTTTAAACCAGCAATTCCCAGCCACCCTCACCCCACCTGACCATCATCCAATGGAAAATCGTCACTGATCCCTCACAAAGAATATCTGGTTCTGTTTGGCATGCTGTGTACTAAACTGGTCTTTCACTACCAGTGACCACTTTTAGGTTTCAGAATGTATTTCTGTTTTTGCACTGGTCTTCCAGAGGCTGCTTTTGCCCCTAGAAGTTGGGGACATTCAGTAGTTCTGAGAATTTCTAATAAAGCATATAACTTTTTAATTTATGTACTATGAGTAATATCCACATACACATTCCATATATATATATATGGAAAAGTTATTCAGCAATTACGCCATTATTTAAACAAGATATTACTTCTTTATTATACTCTTACTAACTGATGATACATCTATCTGGAGCATAGTTTTCAGTTAGTAAACTCTTTAGTCTCTAGAGGATGAAAGCAGGCACCTTCAAGAAGGTGGAAAGAGCATAGAACATAAAAACTGTCATTTTCATGGTTTTCTTAGGGCCAACCTTAAAAACGTACCCTTCTTTCTTCAAAGGGTCCTCTCCCAGGTTCAGATATTTTGGTAATGCCTTGTCGATACCATACATATGCTCAAATGTAAAAATCCTTACATTGGCTCAAGGTGCAAAATGCAAGTTTTTTGGGTGGAAATTGCCTTCCCATGTATAAAAAAATCTGAGGTGTTTTATTTAAGGAAGTATCAAGTTTTATTTAAGGAATCTTGACAGGCTCATAAATAATAATCAAAGAAATATCTCACCAGGGCCATGAAAGGAATAGCAGAGGTCAGCCAAAGGCATCATCTTGGAAGGGTCCAGCCCAGGTCCTCCCAGCAGCTCCACAAAGTCTCCTATTCCCCCACAACCTGCTGAGGGGTTCTAAGAGAATAAAGCAGCAGAGGAAGATATATTTCAACCAATTACAGAAGTCAGACCATTTGACCAACCGCAAATTGGTGAATTCCCTCAATCAGTCTTGCCATGTTGGCGGTGCCATTTAATTGAACATCCAGGACTCCGGAAATGAAAAGACATTTATAAGGAAAAAAAATCATAAGAACTGCTCTTCTAAATCAGTTGAGTAATCATTTTCTTTAAATGTGTGTGCATTTAAAAAAAAAATGTTATAATCTCAAGGACCGGAATGATGAAATGGGAATCTGTAAATGCCACATAAAATGAATGAGAATTGAATCTGCAAATGCTTTGCTTTTTAAGTCATCTGGACATACATACGGAATTATTCGAATTTCTTAATGCATGCAGTCAGCATTTATAAATAGGGCTTTCACGTCAGTTTTTCCTTCAATTCACCCCTTTTCCTCTTCTTTAGAAAGGACTTTGCCTGCTCTTGGGACAATCCTTATCATTTCTACTAATGGGCATTTAGATTAGTTCTAAGAATGTTAAAGAAAGAATAGAGCCCTCCTTTGGGGCTCAAGGTAGGTAGAGTTACCAGTGTCTTTCTCCTCCCAACTAAAACAAATTTATTTCAAGCTACTCAAAACCAGAATGTATTCCAGAATGTAATCCACTGTTAACTGTTTTCCACTTCCCTTCATCCTTTCCACACTGCCTTGTCCACAGCTATTCCTACATTTCACTTTTCCACAAAAATAAAGCAGCTACTCTCAGTCCCAAAGGTTGCCCTTTGGGCTACCCAGCTCCTGTGATCAGGGCTGCTGGCCTCGTCGGCATGGCCCCCTGTGCCCACGGGCCCACACTTAAAAGGGCCTTGTGCTTGGCTGAAGGCTCTGCTGTCACCATCCTGAAATTCCTAATAACTCTAAAATAAGGGCCCGCACATTTTCATCTTGCACTGTCCCCCATAACTACATAGCCAGTTTTGCCTGTGATCCTCTCCTTCACTGAGGCACACTATCACGAGATCTAGTGCAGAGTGGCAGGGTGCTCAGAGGTGAACCAGGTAGACCCTGCCACATAGGGAATAACATCTAAAATAGAAAATGTTAGGGGCACCTGGGTGGCTCAGTCAGTTAAGCGTCTGCCTTCAGCTCAGGTCATGATCTCGGGGTTCTGGGATTGAGTACCGCATCGGGCTCCCTGCTCAACGGGGAGTCTGCTTCTCCCTCTCCCCCTGCTCTCTTGCTCTCTCTCTCTGTCTCAAATAAATAATCTTTAAAAAATAAATAAAATAGAAAATGTTAAACACACACATACATAAACACACACATTCAAACATCTAGAAGACACTGAAATGCAACTAGAACTAAACAACTTAGGAAATAATATATAACACCAACTGTTTGGCTAATACAAGGAAGGAGGTGAGGACATACATTTTTTAAGTGCCTACTCTATCTTGGGTCCAATGCTTAGATGCTCTACACATAATTTCACCCACTAATGAAAGAGAGGCTTAATTAGCCCTCCTGTGTACAGGGCTCATGCTCTTGTATCAAGAGTTGAGTGAGAGGTGAAGGAAAAAAATCTTAATTGCCTTTCCCTTCAGGAGAGGATGTCCAGGGGGAACATCCCTTAAGACTAAACTTTCCACTTGGTTCTTCAGGTTCTAAATTTCAGCAGGAGGTGGTAAAGGGGAAAGGCAGGCCCCAGAGAGAGAAATGGGAAGTAAGGAAGTTGGGAAGAAGTAGGAGCTAAAATGAGGGGAACCAAAAAGAAACAAAGAAGTTGGACACACCTGTTCCTTGATGTTCAATGACTTTTCTCTGCTCTTCCCAAACCTCTCAGCTAGTCTTAGGAATGAGAAGTATTACACTACTCTGCTGTGTTCAGCTCCTCGGCAGTGAGCTCCTAGATTTCTCTGTTGAAGTTCTGGCTCTCTGGACTAAGCCACTACCATCTCTTGCCTAAACTGTGACAATGGCCCTTCCTGCACCACTCTGGCCCCCACAGTCCCTTCACCAGCCAGAATGGCCTTTAGGTAATCCTCTCCCTCCCTCCACACCCCACCCCGCCATGGACCTTGTTAATTAATTGGGTCACGAGATCAGCATTCCCAACCACCCTCACCGGACCTGAGCATAATCAAATGGATTATGTCGCTTTCCTGCCTGTACCCCTTCAGTGGTTTCCCAGTGCACTTAGAATAAACTCAAACTCCTTCATATGCCCTGCTGGGCTCTCCACACCCTGGCTCTGCCCTTCTCCCTGATGCTGTCCAGTATCCTCCCCCCCGCCACCTTTCTTTCTGTTTCTAGAAACCAGCAAGCCCATTCCTCCCTCTGAGTCTCTGCATTATTGTCCCCTGTGTTCCTGGCTCTTCCAGGGGCTGCTGGCTCCTTCCTACCTATCACTCACATTTTACTTTAAATGTCTCCTTCTCAGAGGTTTTCTTTCCTGACCACTTTACCTCAAGGAACTCCCCACCCCTCCCTCTACTCCCTTGTCTATCACAGCACTCTGCCTCATTTTCTGTTGGGCACTCATCACTATTTCGAATGCACTTTTGCTTATTTCAACCCACTAGAATGCAGGTTCCATGTGAGCAGGACCTGTGTGGTTCATTGCTCATTTCCAGCATCTAGAATTAGTGCCTTGCACATAGGAAGAACCCAGAAACTATTTTGTAAAAGAATAGAGGTTTAGAACACCGCAGACTTCAACATTTTTTCAAGGGGAAACGCCAAGATTACTTCTCACGGCCAAGAACTAACGTGCAGATCTCCCAACCTGGAATGGTGCTTGCCATCCATCTTCTGTGGTAAACATCAGGACTGACATACAAACAATCTCAGGCCAAGAGGGCTATGCCAAAGACATCGCTTATTCTGGTCTTTATCAAAGGATTATTCTTCTACTAAGGCCCAATCAAAACAAACAAACAAACAAACAACAACAACAACAAAAACAGGCACTGGCCCATGAAATTAGGGCTTAATGGAAATTAGATATACACCTTTTTTCAGTGCTGGTCCTATTTATTTGGTTTTCACTGAAACCTGCCTGATTAGGAACAATGAGTGTCTTTGGTGTCAGCAAATATACGAGCCATCTTAACCAAGGAATATGAAAAAGTGAAAGGAAATGAGAATGACTCAGAGTGAAGAAGCCGGCAGTACCAAAAACAAAAAAAAAAAGTGGTCAAACTCAGCATTAATTGTGAAGTCCATACAGAAGTTCATGGAAATACAGACTGATAGAGATTCTCAACTAATATTTTCATGCAAAATGTATTGAACTAAATGTAATGTGAAGAAGGGGTGCCTGGGCTCAGTTGGTTAAGCGTCTGCCTTTGGCTCAGGTACTGATCCCAGGGTCCTGGGATGGAGCCCCACATCGGGCTCCTTGCTCAGCAGGCTCCCTGCTGCCTGCCACTCCCCTTGCTTGTGCTTACTCTCTCTCTCTGACAAATAAATAAATAAAATATTTTTTTAAATGTAATATAAAAAAAATCTTCAAAACTTTAGTGTATTTTGTAATATAAAAATCCAATTTTGTATTTTATGCTACACTTAGCATTTCTTCAACACACAGTTCTGTCACTGAGATACTTCCTTCATGTCATAAAAAAATGCCAATAATCAGAAAAACAGCTGTGTAGATGACTCACACTAGGTTCTGCTAGGAGAGAATTTTTGTAAAAGAGGCAAGTACAAGAGAGTTCAATTGTAATTATATGCCACAACTTTCCCAATTGAACACATTTCTTACATCACAAGAGAAGTATTCAAGTAATCAGAAGGGGCACCTGAGTACGCAACATGCAGTGTAAGGGAAATAGAAGGGGGCTTTCATCAAAGCAGTGAGGGCATAGCCCATGTGGGACTGACAGCCAGCAGAAGGACACACGCCCGCAATTTGCTGATGTCCACGTTTACCCTGTATGCTTCCTCCTCCTTGGATAAAGCTGTGGCCTCAGTAAATGATTGGGAAGTAAGAAAGCAACTTACCTTGAACTGCATACCATTTAAGTGTCCCAGGGTGAGATCTGATATTTTGATCGCCACGGGATAAATTATGGAGAAGCTGCAGTTTTGCCGCAGATGCGGGACAACCAGAGTAAACCTTCCACTGGGGGTCTGGGAAATCACATTGCAGGCTTTGTGGAAAAACAAAATCACATTTTCACTATTTGGTATGCTGGGTTTTCATAGAAATTTATCCTATCCTTATTCTAGGCTCCTATTCATGGTCTAGGGCCCTTGTAGCCTGGACGAGAATAGGTATCACAAGGGCAATTTGGTACCAGGAGGCAAGGGGGCTTCTAATCTCAATCTCAAGGAGTTACCTTGTTTACAACAATCGTAAGACATAAAGTAATAATCAAACACTAGCTAGTAGAAGTTTTAGGAACACTTCATTAACTAGGGTCCAAATTTGAGCTGTAAATCTGAAAGAATAAAAGCTCAAAGGTGAGGCCAGAACTCAAACCCTGCCGCCTGAAAGCTTCATTCACAGAACTTGGAACCATAATGATATTTTTAAAATAATGAAGTCAATAAATAAAAAAATAGTTACAAAACAGGCTGAGAAAAATAGAAAGCAGGCTTATGTCTGAATAAATATTTGCTGGGTGTTAAGTGGTAACTTGACTAAAAGGTAAAATATTTTTTAAAGGTAAAATATTAATGTTTAACTTTATCGTAAGACTTTGATTTGTTTTGTATCTCAAATCTAGATTTATAATAAATTTATTCTCCTAACTATGAAACTAGAAGTATCAGAGTTTTGCTGATCATGAGCCAAAGATTTCTAATTGATCAGAATAGTCAGAACTACCTCTTTCTCCTTCCTCTGTTTAAATTACACTTAATTTCAAAAAGAACTGAAATACCTTGGTGATTCTAGAAGATTTCTGATTTCTAACCACACAAAATCTAGAAGAAATATTTCATGTTGTTTTCTAGTGTTATTCTCAAAAATGGACTTTCTGGGGGGCTTCTTTTTTAAAAAATAAAAATTGGAAGGTAAGTCAATACATTATTCTTTGGCAGATTAGACCCCATTCTTCCACGATTTGAAGTGTTAATACCATTTTGTGCAGCTAAAAATGATTTTTTTTCTTTTCCCGATTTAAAAAAAATACATATTTTTCTCTTAGTGGAGAAAAATAATAAGTAGTTGGTTCATGAACTCATTTTGATTAGAATAACATGTTTTAGGCCTGGGCTGTTCAGCTTTATAGCATCTATGTGTGTATCCAACAGAAATGAGAGTGGTGGGCTCCATATTAGAAAGCAATGCTGAGGTCCTTCAGTCCAACCCTCTCTGCTTAGGACATGAAATCTATCACATCCCAGATAGAGCCTTTGCCTAAATATCTCTAAGAAGGCAACCTCAGATCTGATTCATCAAGCTAATCCCAGATCAATGGAATGACTCAGAGGGATTAAAGTTTGTCACTGAATCCACTGTAGTACCTCAGAAGATCAGAAAAAGACTAAAGAAAAAAAAACAAAACTTTACCCACCAAAAATTAATATCCTACCTAGCCTGGGAAATCAATTAAAAACTGTGAATTGATTTTCGGAGTAATGACTAGGAAATATCCTTTAAGTCATTTCTAATGACAAAAGAATTTCCATTCAAATCATTCCTTGCTTCAAATTTCTTAAGTATGGTGCAATCACACTACCTTTGAAAAGCAGATCTGACACTCCCTCCAAGTCCTGCCTTCCCACTAAGAGAGGGAGTCCACTTACGAAAGAGGTTGGGATCTGTCTTTATAGTGAAGGTGAATCCATTTCCTGGTTCATGAACCCGGAAGAAGATCATGGCCACATTCTGGGAAGATCTGATGCTCCTTCGGCTAAGACCACTGTCACAGAAATCTATGTATCGCTCAGTTGTGGGGAGAGGATGATCCTGGGAACTGGGGAACTTCTCCCCCTTAAGAATCCAACCATCAAATACCTTCCAACAAAAAAAAACACACAGATGTAGATGATCATTTCCATCAACTCCTGAAGTCACAGGTGTGTTGGAAAGGGGGGTAAGTTACCTAGCAATGAGCCTTCAGTCCTAAGTGGGCAACTGACAGCCTGCACTCCCCTGCCCACTTGCTTTCCATCTGTATATATATTTTGACCAATACTTGTTTGCAAGTAGTATTACTAATGATTTTTTTCTTCAAAAACCTTAAAGTATCCAAGGTAAGTAAACTTTGTTATACTCTATTTTATAATTTCAGCCTCCTTGGTATGAAACTGTAGACAATATACATTTTTATCTTGGTCATATTTTCCACACATCCCATCTTCAGAAGAATTCCACACAAGCATAATTTGGGTTTCAGCTTTCTCTTCCTTCTCCATGTCAACATATTAACAAAATATCTCAAAACTAGCAAAAGCAAAAAACAGGAGCAGCAACTTTACCTACTTGCCAAAGGCTGTAATATGCCCATTTCCCTCATTTTGTAACTCTTATTTCACATTAAACTATCAAAAACTACTTCAACACTCAGACAGCAATGGCTGTTATGCCACTTAGGACCTTTTTTTCCCTTCACTTTGTTAAAGTTTGTGGTTAGATAAAAGGTCAGGGTCGGACTGACAGTACTCCTAAAATCACCACAGGTCTCCAACTGAGTGAGTCCAACCTAGTTCACATTCGCAGAATCCCCGGCTACAAATTACTTCGTCACACTTAGTCGTCTTGTAAGGACTTGGACAGATTCCAAAATCATTCCACCTGGGAGGTTCTCATGACCATTGCAACGGGCCTGCGTAGCCCCATCAGCCGGCCCCAGCTGACCGGTCAGACTCACGGGGACGACTAGGAGTGGGCATGTGGTACGGCTGGGGGACTTGTCCTCGCCTCCCAACTGCCTCAGACTATAGACCCCCCTCTCGGCATCCGTCGCAGCCGCCAGAGCCCTCCTGCTTCCAAACCGGGTCACCCGGGCACCGAGGGCGGCCTCCGCGAGCCCGGCACAGCTCCACAGAGACGCCGGCCGGCCTTCGAAGCTGGGCGGGCCCTCCAGGTGGCCCCGAGCCGCGGTGCCAGTTAGTTGGTATCATTTTTCATCTAACACAGCGCTTCACGCCGCAAGTTCAAGTCTTTGGAAGCGCGGGATCCCGGGAGCGCACGGAGGGGAATTTAAAAGCAATGCAACGGGCGAGGCCGCAGGCCCTCGGGTGCGGGGCGAGGTTCGCTCTGTCCGGGAGGCGCTCTGCCCCTCGGGCACTAGCTCCCCGCCCCGCAGCCCCCCGCTGGGCACCGCACCCCGGCCCGTCCCCCCTCAGGGCCCCGCGGCGGGCGGGTCGCCTCACCTTCAGGAAGTCGCCGCCCTGACAGTCGATGGAGACCAGGTCGTAGCGGATGGTGATGAACTCTTCGGGCTCGGCGATGAGGAAGGCGGCGCAGTGCAGCTGCGGCCGGTCGGCGGTGAAGGTGAACTGGCCCGGGAGGCTCAGCATGTCCAGGCACCCTGCGGGAGGGCAGGCGGGCCAGAGCTGCGGCCACCGAGCCACCGGCTCCCGGGCAGCCCGTCTCACGCGCCCCGTTCCCGACTCCCCGACCCCGGCGGGCGCGCCTCCTGTCTCCAGCGGGACCCCGAGATGGGAATCGCACCCCCACCCCGGCGCTGCCCGGGGCCTCCTGCCCTGGCGCAGAGCCCAAGCTCGGCACCTCCCCGCTGCCCGCGGACGCGCGCCAGCAGCCCGGACTCACGCAGAGCGCGGCGGTACAGAGGCGCCCCCGCCAGCTCCCGCTTCAGGCTGGCGCCGAAGAGCAGGAAAGGGTCGTGGTCCGCCGCTTCCCGCAGCTGGCAAGGAAGACGAGTCAGTCGGGAAAGTTCAAGAGGTGGGAAAGGGGACTGGCAGCGGGGCACTCTCCCTTCCCCGCAGCAAAGAGAATAAAGTGACGGAATACATCTCCCGCGTCCAGAGAAGAAAAGGTCTTAGACCCTTTCCATGAGACCCAGGTATCCCCAGGGGCCAAGGGAAGGACAGAGAGAGGCAGGGAGGAAGACCAGTCCCGGGGAAACCAGGAGAAAGAAGGGGCAAAAGATAGGGAAGAAAGAGCTAACCCCAACAAAGGCTGAGAGCTGAGGCAGCTTATCTATCCCCCAAGGCTGGACACACACACAGAAGATGTGATGGGTCAGTCCGGAGATAGCTCACCTCTAGGTACCGGTTCTCCCCTCTTAGAGCCATCAGGAAGATCAGAATGAAGTGACACTGAAGTTTGAAAGAAGGAGACATGCTGGCCTGGCTTCTGCAGCTGGTATGCTCCTCCCTGAAGGTCTCAGGCTTTGCTTCCCACACCTTCGCCCAGGCTGAGAGCTAGAAGCTGGTAGGGTCCCTTTGCTGGGTCTCTTTTATAGAGCAGTGAGGAGGGGAGGCTCTCTGCCCCTTAACTGATCTGAGCTCAGTAACCATGGGTTACTCTGTCTCAGTGACAAAGTGCGTGCTGATGACGAGGGTCCCCCTCTCAGCCACAAATTTTCAGAGTGGTCCAGCATTACTCACCAAGAATGATTTCAGGCACTTACAACTTATTGAACTAAACTGTGGGAGAAAGAACGAGGTAAGGCTGGAGAATAAAGGAGGGCATTTTGTTGGATCTGCAAATGCTGAATTATCTCCTCCTGTGGATATTTAGGGAATTCTCGGTGTTGCAAAGCAAAGTGACAAAGTTACACACATGCATAAAATACACAAACACTTATAACCTTATCATGCAGGCTTATCACAGAGCCTTAGATGGAATCATGCTGGAAACTATCAGAGAATATGGTATTCATGCAATTGCTCATGTCTCTCAGGAAAAAACATGAGATGTTTTTAGTTCCAAACAGAAGCTGAAGTCTGATTTTGCAGAAGATGGCAATAATCCAACCCAAGGTTGCTTTCTCTCCCTTCGTCTTTGCTTTATCCTGGTCCAGTTTCTTGTAAGCATTTCCCTAATGGAAAGCTAACTCAGGCACCTATGAACTTCTGGATTTTAGCTGAGCTTTGTCATTCAGCCTAAATGTATACATGGTAGGACACACTCCTGGGCCAGGGTGCTGTGACCATGACCTTGGCATCCATCTGAACCAGTGAGAGATGAAGTCATTGTATTTCACACCTTCAAATACTTAGATTATTTTGATATTCTGGTAGAAAGAACTGCCCAGAAGCTTTATTATAACTGCTTATCAGCAAATGTACAGGGCTAACAAATGACTTAGAGATCCAGAAATAAGCATCTTTGCTGATTAGATAGAAGACAGTTGTTTCCCCTTTATGTCAAAATTTGTGGGAAATATGGGTATGCTAAAAGTTTGGCTTTCCAGGTTATGTGCTAAGCAATGCAACTACAAATTCTAAAAATATCATGTTGTTCTACCTCTCTCTGCCTGATAGAAAACATGATACTACCTTTAGCTTTCTTTGTTATTAAAATTAGTACAAATAATGAGACCATAATACAAGTTTTCACTCAAGGAAATGGTTATATTTTTAGTTTATAAATACTCAAAATTAAGCAGTAATTTACCTAGTAGTGTTGGAACTTGATATTTTCATATTTAAGACTATTTGAGCTCTAAAGGGGCTGCCCCTTAGTTGTTCAACTGGGAGGCCTTCCTACCATACTCCAATTTTGGAAACAGTCCTCAGACCACAAAGAGCCTGAAGGGGAAGGGTACCCAAAGGTCATGAACCCTGGGCACCATGTCCTTCTCCCCATCTTGGGACTGTTTAGATGTCTGAATTTCAGAGAGGATATAAAGAAACCTAAGAGGAATAAAACAGTAGAAAAATACACGGTTTAAGACCAGTTTGCCTGGGCTCGAACATGCCAGGCCATCTTCAGGCCTCTCTCTCTCACTGTTCGTGCCTGAGGAAGCTCAGGCACACTCCTCCCACATGCCATGGACGCATTTTCCTTTTCTGTCAACCTAGCCATGGCCTTGGCCTGCTCCCAGGATTGAGCCCAGCACTCGGCTTTGGAGACTCCTGCTTATCCCACTTTGGGGGTCTGGCTTTGGTAGCATCCCCATGGAGATAGTCTTCTATCTCCTTCTGCCCCTTCACACACACACACACACACACACACACACAATTGATGTTCCTAACATGCATTCATGATGTTTCCTCCTCAGGAAGTACATATAGGAAGAACTGGGATATATGAGGGCAAACATAGCCACAGATAGATAATATTCTATTTTATATAACAACCCACAAATTATCACATAGGGATGAACTTTATTTCCACAAAAGGTGTCATGTTCACCAACTTGGCAAATATCTGCTAATCCAGCAGAAATTGTTTCTTGTGGTTTTTTGTTTTTGTTTTTGTTTTTTGATTAAGAGTAACAACAGGAGAAGATATTTGCAAATGATATATCTGACAAGGGGTTACTATCCAAAGTATATAAAGAACTCATACAAGTCAACATCAAAAAAACCCCCAAACAATCCAAAACAAACAAACAATCTGATTAAAAAATGGGCAAAGGACACCTGCCTGGCTCATGCAACTCTTAATCTTGGGGTCGTAAGTTTGAGCACCAAGTTTGGTGTAGAGATTACTTAAAAATAAAATCTTAAAAAAAAAAATGGGAAGAGGAGCTGAATAGATATTTTTTACAAAGACATACAGATGTCCAACATATATACACGAGAAGAGGCTCAACATCACTCATCATGAAGTTAAGTGCAAATCAAAATCACAGTTAGGTAGCACCTCATGCCTGTTGGAATGGTTAAAATCAAGAATACAAGAAACAACAAGTGGAGAGGATATGGAGAAAAAGGAACCCTCATGCACTATTGGTGGGAATGTAAATTGGTATAGCCACTGTGCAAAACGGTATGGAAGTTCTTTAAAAAATTAAAAATAGAAATACCATATGATCCAATAATTCTACTATTGGGTATTTACCTGAAGAAAATGAAAACATTAACTTGAAAAGATATATGCGCCCCCTGTTTATTGAAGTATTAAATATAATAGCCAAGACATGGAAGCAACCAAAGTGTCCATCAACAGATGAACAGATAAGGAAATGTGGTATATATACACGATGGAATATTGCATAGCCATAAAAAAGAATGAGATGGTGCCATTTGAGACGACATGGATAGAGACTAGAGGGTATTATGCTAGATGAAATAAGTCAGCCTGAAAAGGACAAATATCATACGGTTCCACCAATCAGTCAATCAACCAATCAATCAACAAACAAAAAACAGAATCAGAACTGTAAAATACAGAGAATAAACTGATGGTTGCCAGAGGGGAGCAGGGTTGGGTGAAATGGGTAAGTCATGGAAATAAAAGGCAGAGCATAAGGAAGGCAGTCAATGATATTGTAATAGTGATTTAACAGGACAGATGGTAGCTACACTTGTGGTGAGCGTAGCATCGTGTATAAACTTGTCAAATCACTAAGTTGTACACCTGAAACTCCTGTACTGTGTGTCAACTCAAACAAACAAACAAACAAACAAAAAAAGGAGTAAGTAAAGTATAAAAACTAGAACCTATAGGGGAAAACTAAGAAGATTGAACAGGGGTCAAAGAGAAGCCAAGCCAGGTAACCATTCTCTATAAGCAAAAGTATAAAAAAATGGGTGAAAGCAATGGGAGAGTAATTTGGATGAGACAGAAGAAAAGTTTCTGGAAAATAAGTAGGTCTATATCCACAGACAAAAGAGGAATTGTTTTCATAAAAACATGTTTTCATGTTTTCAAACAACTAGTGTAATATTTCAAAGCCATTTGTTCAACCAAATTGACCGGTTATTTTGAAATACATTCTTAGTAAGCCCAGAGTCCCTAGGCATGCTGGTTGGAAATTATCTGCATATTCACCACCATTCTCTGTACACATTTTTTTTTCTCTCCATATTTTTTGAGACGACCTCTTTAATGTTGATGTTGATACAGTCCCTGATCAGTGCTTTTTAGGTCTTAAACTACTGTTGGGTGGGGTTAAGACATTCTTTTTGTTAGGTAGGATTAAGACATTTTTTCTTTCACAAATCCCCAGAGCAAACTCACCTATGTTAAGTCTGAAGGTCAAGGTGGCCACACAATATAGATTCATATTCAATTCATGAACATGGGCAGTGGGGGCGGGATTTTAAATTGTGCTGAGACTGAAGAGGCTCACCCAGACAATTTCTGAGTATGCAGGGGGGCACTCTGTAGTCACCCACATGGTCTATGATGTGACTGTGACAGCCAAGTGTAAGCGTATGGAGTCTGCAACATCTTATACACTGAGGTGTCAGGAAAAGCAGGAGATTACACAATCCCAAATCTCTTTCTTTTGTAGGGTCAATCCCAAGACCCCCTTAAGTATTCCCTGCTTGTAGTAGTAAACTTTTTCTTTTGTTAATCACTTCAATAGAGAACACCATAGATACATGCTTTAGAAGACCTTCCTTTTTCCTTTCCTGATACACTGAAAAGTTGGGAAATGGTACGTATGACTGAGTTCTTTAAGAAATAAAGATGACATGAGGCGCCTGGGTGGCTCAGTCGGTTAAGCATCTGCCTTCAGCTCAGGTCATGACCTCGGGGTCTTGGGTTCGGACTCCCCACTCTCTGCTTCCGCCTCTTCCCCCTCTCCCTCTGCCTCTCCCCTTCCCCTCCCCCTGCTCGTGCTCTCTCTCTCTTGCTCTAATAAATAAAATCTTAAAAAAAAAAAAAGAAAGATGACTGAATAAAACTCATTGTTAGCCAACAACAAAAAACTAATTTTCAGTTGCATTCAAGCTGACTTGCTATTTGAATAAATTTGGCTATTTTTTAATGCAACCATTTTTAATAGATAAGATTTCTTTTTCAGATGTGTTTGAGATCAGGAAGGAAGAAACTAAACAAATACACTTGGGGAACTAGTATGAACCAACCTTTGAATGAAACACTCATGTGTCAGTGATTTTCAACCCAAATCCATTATCTTCTTTTGTTCTACGTAAGATGACCAGCAGTGATATGTGGAATTTAAGAAACAAAACAGAGAATCAGAGGGGAAGAGAGGGAAAAAAATAAAACAAGATGAAATCAGAGAGGGAGACAAACCATGAGACTCACAGGACACAAACTGAGGGTTGCTGGAGGGGAGGGGGTGGGGGATCGGGTAACTGGGTGATGGGCACTAAGGAGGACACATGATGTAATGAGCACTGGGTATTACATGCAACTGACGAAACACTGACCTCTACCTCTGAAACCAATAATACACTATATGTTAACTGAATTTAAATAAAAGTTTAAAAAAAAAGATGACCAGCAGTGAGTAAAGATTAGGACTTGGGGGGGTTGCAAGTGACTGATACCAAGTTTGAACTTAAGCAAAAAGGGGAACCATCAGGACACACGGACATCTTGCACACTGCATGGGCAGAACACTGGAG